TTTTTTTAAAAAGTCAAGTACTTAAATGTATTTCAGAGATTAAACCATAAACAACACATTTACACAACCAAAAAGTTCAAAAAAACTAAATAAATTAAAATGTTCTATATGAATATTTATTTTACTACATACACTTTATCATAGTCCAAAATTCCTTTTCTTTGGAGAAGGTTAGTCATAGTTTATTTTTGCAACATTCCTTAGCTATACATAGCATTTCTGGCTAATATGCAACTGATGCACACATGATAAAAATATTTCTGAGTGTTTAGCTACGATCACATGGTCCATTGGGATTGATTTTCTGATATGTTTGATTGCTCTGGTGGCTGACTATTGTTGAAATATTATTGGCATTAGAAATTGTGTGAAAGGTCACTTTTTCTCACAGTGTACTATGCTTTGTAGTACAGAAACACTTGCTGTGCAAGCTTATAAGGGCTCTCTAAAAAAGTCTTCCCAATGCTTAGTGGTCCCTTTTTTCTATAGTCCCAGACTCCTTTAGGCTATCAAGCTGAGTGCGACTGCAACAGCCATGCCTTGGCTCCGATGCCAGTCAGCCATTAATAATACCTCCTTTGTATGACAGTCACATGAGTAGTGCAGTGCTATGATTATTGTCACTTCAGGCATATTGTGAGATACAACCTTTCACATAACCAGCTCTGTTGGGCTCGCTTGAGCAGGATCACTGCAACTAAAACCATTTTAGCCCTATGGCATTCGTAAGCTTAGCCGAGGTCTAAGAATTATTTTGCTGCCACTATTTCTGTTATGTTGTACTTTAAAGAAGTTTTGCCATGTCAACATAACTGCCGTAAACCAGATTAAAACGCTGCAGTTTCTAGATATTTTACAAAGTCAACATACATCAGGCTAATTAAACATCACCTACAAAATGCACAGTCACTACACTTTAGAATAAATCCTGTGAAGCACTTTGTGACAGCCTCCCGACGTCAGAGGCATTATATCAAGTGCCAAAAACCATGTCAGTATCAAATATCATCACAAACATTTTGGCAAATTCCAAGAGTCACTTCTGCAAACTCATGCATTTCTGTGAGTGGGCAAAGTTAAATGGCAGCTGCAATTACCTGCAAAAGGTGCAAAACAGAAGAGCTGGCTGACTATCAAAAGAGACGATCAAAAGCATACAATTTGACAGCCATTTCAATCAATAGCCAGATATAATCGTCATTCAAAGCCTTTTTTGACAATAAAGTATTGGTAACACTTAGAATGTTATTAGAGCACAACTGGTCATTTTGTTCTGTACTTGGCACACGTGGCAATAGAAACAGCAATTCCAGTAAAGCAACAAGCTGAACACATGCTGTATGGAAAAATATCTCAGAAATCATTTAACTTATTTATACAAATGGAAAAGCAAAACATTTTGCTAAGAGGTTTTAATAGAGAAGTAATAAAACAAACATTCACTACAGTTGTAACAAAAAAAAACTACATTTACTTAAAGGGCAGCACTTGAATTTATGACAACGTACTTAAAACAATTCTTGAGACTGAATTTGCTTTCAGCAACAAAAAAGTTTGTATGACTTGGGATTTTTTGAACTGGGATATTGGGGCCCGGGAGATACCTGAAAGGTCATTTCGAGCTGATAATATAATTTAAAAATTTCTTCAGACATGATAAAACCCCAGATCACATAAACCTCAAGAATGTTTTTTTTTGGTCAGCGGGTGTCTGACACATGCGGACACCCATTACCATGCTTAAGAGTATCCAAACCAAACTGAGACTTTAATGCATCCCACCTACACATGGAAATTCTACAGACGGTTTTAATGTTTAAGTATGCTGTCCTAAGTTCATATGCTGCTTTTTGGTATCCTCAAATTTGTTTGTCACAACGGTCACCTATATATCCACACACTTCCTACCATCTACTTATCTCTCTGATCTTCCACCTTCCTCCTGTGTTCGTGCCCCTCCTGACAGCAAACTCAGGCTTGCGGCACGACCCCCATCCTCTCCCCGTCAACATCCGTGACCTCTGAACCTTCCCCATACATCCCTCTCTCGCATCCACTCTGTATTCCTCTTAAGTCCCACCTTAAAACCTACTTCTATGTTCACCTCCACATTCCCACTCTCCCCTCACTTGGTGTCCGACCTGGTCCTTGTTAAGCCCCCCTGAAACTTGCCTTACATGAAGGGCACTACATAAATGCAATTTGTTGTTATTGTAAATGTTTGCTTTATGTCTCCTCTGTACACCAATTATTAACATCTCCTCTTAGCAATAACTATGTTTAAGTAAGGAAGGCTGGTCGAAGCCAAGATGCTGGACTCATTTAAGAAACAGGTTAATGCTGTCAGTAATGGGAAATGTTAAGATAGGTATCCTGGATGAATCAGAACAAATAGTCTGGCTGAAGGGGCCTTCTTCATTGTACCTCATGATCTGGTGAACAGGTTGATGTGGTAAACTGGAACATTAGTCTTTTCAACTCTGAGGTGTTGACTCCAATCCATTCCAGACTAAAGAGAAGAGTCATGTTAAGGCCTGAGTGTTCATCCTGAAATTGTGGTCTCAGCAATCCCAACCAAGTAACCAGTAGGCTTGATTTTGCAGTCTAAAAGTCATAATAATTTGGCACGAAATTGGCTCTCTCAGTCAGAAAGACCACAAGTATGTTGGCTGTTGGGATTGAAAATGTTATACTGATGCATCAGGGTTTGCCCTTGTAAGATTGCTGTTATTTCTGGGGCAATGTAAAGAGTGCTTTACTCTGTATTAACATGCTTGACCTACCCTGTAAATAATTGCTTATGCTGACTTTGCATGCAAAGATATTCAAAGATTTCAACATCCCCTAGTTCACTATAACACACACACACATCACACAAAAAGGTCACTGAGAAAATCAGAAATCCTCAGATGCAAGGATTATTATTATCATGATTATTACTATCATCATCAGATAGGTTCAAATATAACCTGTCATTTTACTGTCAACTGAATTCACAAACTGAGGATCACTCGTCAAAGGAAAATCAGAAAAGCATCCAATTAATTGCTCAAGTTATTGTAATAGAATGACGGATATCAAGTGCACAGCCCAGACCTTAAAATTATGGTCAAAATCCTAACTGCACATTATTTTTAAAAATACAACAATTGTGCAAGGTCATATACTCAGTAGGAGCACACATGGACCTCATATACCTATGCCTGGGATATTAGTCTTCAATGTAAACTATTTAAAGCAAAAAAAGGTCTCTTTTTTAATCCTCTGTCCAAAGTTCCAAACATCCTGAAGTCATTATAGGCTGTCACGATCCCAGAACTGAAGCGAGAAAAGAAGCATTGAAACTCTGGAACAGCAATGAAATGGATCCGTTACTGTAAAGCGCTCTGAGACGCCATCCGGCGTGGAGGGGGCTATATAAGTCCAAGTTGTAGTTGTTGAAACAAATATCTTACACAAGATTTAATAGCCCTCCTAAAAAGGCAAATTTTTTTGATTCCATAGACAAGTCAATTGGCAGATTTTATCTGCATGTTTATTCAACCGCCCCTTATCTCCGCTTGTGTTCTCTGAGGCCCCAAATTCTGCTTGGTCTTAGCCTCAAGTCTCAGCCTAAGTGCTCTGAGATGCTACCAGACTGAAGGGCGCTATATAAATGCAATGTTGTTATTATTAAATCTATTTTACCTTAAAATTGAAATTCAGGCATCCAAATTAACAACATCCAAATTATATAGAGAATTTTCCACAAGCCTTTAAAAATTTTATGAGAAAATAGTCTTTTGGGCTAAGATTCAGTGAACATGATCTCAGTAGATAGCTTGATATCATTATCCAGTTCCCAGTTATGAATCCAGGGACCCCTCTGTGCTCCCAGTATCCTGCAAGGGCAATTATTGTTTTGTTCTGGTTGTAAAATGCTCTGAACTCATTGCAAAAACATCCTGGATTTTTGGAGGGGGTGGGAATTGCTTGTCTTCCTATCCCTGCTCCGCAATGTTATTGTAAACACAGTCACGTCATTTAGACCCACTTTTGTCCCTCATGTTTTTTTAAATGGTTTGTCCCTTAGAAAACTGGGAAAGGGAGGGAGAGAAGTCACATATGCTGATCTATATAGTTTTAACGATGCCAATTGAACATTCAATGCCTCTTTTGCTGAGACCTCCACACACCCCCCTTTCTCACGTTGCTCTCTTTTGGAAACTATAGGAATCCATCCCCCCAAATAACTAGTGTATCCGTCTGTTTCCAACTCTCTCCAAGTTGGCAGCAGCAGAGTTCTGCAAAGAGAAACAACCTGATACAGTGCAGTGCTTTCCTTCAAACTGATGATTACCAGAATGCCAGCAATGTTACTCAGATGTTTAATGCCTCTTTGCTGTCCAGTTGTTTAAGGCTTTGCTATTTGGAGTCCTGTAGCTCAGTGGTTAGAGCACTCGTTTTGCAAGTGAGACACCTGGATTCAATTCCAGGCAGCGCGAAACCTTGGGCAAGTTTCCTTACTCCACACAGAGCCTAATAATAATCCTTCCAAAAAAAACAATAATAAATTGGTCATTTTCAATCCACGACTGTTTGTGGGACATTGCTGTGCGCAATTGGCTGCCGCGTTCGCCCACAAATATACAGTCAATTCACTTTACAGTGTGTTCTGTGAAGCGCTTTGGGACGTCCTCCCGACGTGAAAAGCGCTATATCAAATGCAAGGATTATTATTATTATAGATTGCTTTGCTGGCAGGGACCATTCCTACCCCCCAAAGGTAACAATTTGCAGGAACATCAAACGTTGAGAACTACACACTGTTATCTTTCTCCCTGGTTTCTCCTATGGTTTCTCCATGAACTCCAATCTGGGAAACGAATCTAAAGCAGTTAACGCGTTAGTTTCTCTTCCCTTCTTGTCGGTACCCAGACACATCCTTATTCTTATGCATTTATATACAACTCAGTATATTCTAAAAGAGAGAGTTGAAGCAAAAAGGAAAACACTCTTACCAGACATCAGAAGTTTCCCTGCGGTTGTTGGTTGTATCTGTGCCTCCTCTCTATCTCTGTGGTTTCATTCATCCAGTTCTCTTTTCTTTTTGCACGTCGTACACACTCTCTCTCTCTTTCTTTCTCTTTTCCTCTTTCCGCACAATCAAAGTCAGTGACTCAGAACAAAAAAGATTAATTGCACAAGGGCAAGGGTTGCTTTTCTTGTTCCTTGCAAATAAAGAAGAGATGGTTTATATACAGCCATTCAGATCTTTCCCCACCCCTGGACAAGGGGGTGCTTTGCAGTTTGAGCTGTAATGCTCAGTGTGTGGTGTGTCTATGTGTGTGTGTGAGAGAGAGAGGAGGNTTTTTTTATATATGAAACTTTGAATGTGGGAATGAACTTCCCTCTCTCACTGGCAGTCAGTGCCTGTCACCCAGGCTCACAGCCAATGGTAAGGGCTTTGGAGACATCTCCTCCTCCCTCAAATCACTGGTTCTGGTCCAGGCAACATGACAAGTGGTGGAGGAGAGAGAGAGAAAGAAAGAAAGAAAGAGAGAGAAAGAAAGAAAGAAAGAGAGTTGCTACCTGTAGTGGAGGTGGCATTTTCCTGGGGGAGCTTTGGCTGTCGGATCATCTGCAACACCCACTCTCCAACTTGCAATGGTCCCAAAGATGCTGCAGTGTAGGGATCCACAGGCACAGGCAGGCAACCGGTTGCCCGATCAGCCCTGTGAGCATCAGGTCTCAGTGGGTGAGAAAGTGCAGGCACCTGCATCCCCACCCCAAACAGAGGGCGATAAACAAGCTGGATCAGCAACTGCCATGCCAGAGCAGGGCGTGTGGTTCATGTTGCTTGGGCTGGAGACGCAACTGAAAGTTTGCCTTTTTTTTTGCAAGAATGTTAATTCTCAGTGGGTGCATTCAGCCAGATGTTCTGTTCTGGAGGCTGCTCCACCTCTGGCTTGAATCCCAACGGTACCTGTGTGTGTGTGTGGGGGGGGGAGGGAGGGAGAGAAGCTGGGATTCAAAAACTCACTTGCTGTTCCAAAGTAGGGCTGTGTGAATCCAAACCCTACCTTTTTATTTCTAGCAACCTGTGTGTGTGTGTGAGAGAGAAAGAGAGAGAGCGCTTGCGGTTCAGAAACTCACTCGCTGTTCCAAAGTTGATAATTATTTGGGGAGGACAAGTTTGCAGGGCTATGGGGAGAGCGCGGGGAGGTGGGATTGATTTGGATAGCTCTTTTAAAAGAGTCGGCACAGACACAATGGGCCGAATGGCTTCCTTCTGGGCTGTATAATTCTGATTCTATAAATAGATGTTACAGACTTTAGCAACATCTGCTGAAAATATTACACCACAGCCAACATATGTAGGCACAAAAAACAGATCCTGAATAATGTAACGATAATACTGTGTACAGTTGTGTGCTTGGTTCTGTGGTCAATGCTCTATGCTCAATGACAATTTTAAAATTGTCCTTTATTGGCATGACAAGGCGGTAAGTTCTGTCATTTTCCCCCTCTAGGTACTGTTTTCAGCCTCGGGAGGGTAAAAGCATGCCAGGACAACATATTTGATGCTAAGGAGAAACAAGAGAGAAACTCTCAGAGGAGAGCAACCATAACAGTCTATTGTCTGTGCAATAGACAAAGCCAAGAATGACAGTCTTTGTGTGAGCTTAGATGCTCTCTGAATGTCACTCCCTATTGCTGGAAACACGTTGTGTGGGGTGAAAGTTGCAAGTGAAGAACCATCACGATTTTCACCCCTTTCCTTGTTCTGCCGTGTGTGATGATGAGGTACTGATATTTGAGCCCTTGTGGTGGAGACGACACCAGAAACTGCAGCAGTGAAACTCAAGCAGTTCAGCAACACCTTAACCTACAGATCTGTTACTGTCTGTATAAAGGGCTGAATTGCCACTTTCTGTGCTGTAAATTTCTATGGCTTGTATTGCCGTGTACAAAAGTCTCATTCACCTACAAAACACAATCACTTTACAGCAAAATCACTTCACAGGAAATCCTGTGAATTGCTTTGAGACGTGCTCCCGACGTGAAATAATAATAATAATCCTCACATTTGATATTTGCTCCGTTCACATCAGGAGGACATTTCAAAGTGTTTCACAAGATACACTATAAAGTGGAGTGACTGTTTATTTGTATGTGAATGCAGTAGCCAATTTGTCTCAGCTGAAGGACAGGACTTCCAATAATCCAGCATACACCCAGTATTACACTGGAGTGTCAGCCTAAAATTATATGAGTTTGAAGTCCCAACCTTTTTTTTTCGTTCAGAGGCAAGAAGCAACCAGGTGCTATATCAAAATGTACATTTTTTTTATTTATGTCTTGCAATACAGTTCATATTGAATCGTTGTTTATATCTATAACATCAACTAAAACTTCCATTTATATAGCGTCCTTCACGCACGACAGAGTCTGAGAGCATTTAATTGCGGTAGAGCCTGATGCCGAGTAGGGAGGAGGTGACCATAAGCACGATCGAAGAGGAAGGTCTTGAGTCGTGACCTAAAAGAGGAGGGGAGGAAGAGATATCTATCTACATGTGTACAAATATGTTTACTTTTTTTGTATCTTTGAGTTATCGTTTTCTACTTTTTTTTATTTTTGCTAAATTGTGAGATGATCAGTGAGGAATGTTAGCATTTCAGGCAGCAGGAACCACACCCAGGTCAGGTACAGGACAGGTCAAAACGAAGCAAAGCTCCCTCTGTGTCCAAGCTCAGAACAGCACCCCCTAGTGCAGCATTGAAATATTTTTGATATTCCTATGCACCAAATTGAGTTCAAAATTTTAATTGGAAGTTTCACAGGATGATAACAGTTACTGCTATATTATCAAGCATAATGCCAGGATAGGTGTGATGGTAATTTCTTAAAGTGAACCTACAACTTCGCTATGGATATTTGGAGGTGTCCATGATTATATGACTATTTTGACATTTTATATGTACTTAAAAACGATTATGTTTCAACAGCAACAATTTATACTCGCATCACCTTTCACGTGCAGAGAGTGTCTCAAAACTCTCCATGAATGCTGAGTTCAAAACTGAGCCGAGGGGGAGCTAGGGGATTATTAGGGAAAGGTGACTGGAAGCAGAGACAAAGAGATAGGTCTTCAGATGGGTTTTTGAAGGTAGGGAGGGAGGAGGCGAGGTCGAAGGTAAACATGGCTTCAGTTTTCTTTGTCAACTTTCCAGTCATCAGAAGGAGATTTCCACCTATGATTTTAAGTTATTTGATTATGTTTAACTTCTTAAGAAGACTGAGACGCTGGGTGTTCTTTTATACTAACTCAAATTAAAAATCTAAAAAGCGTGGTGAAGTCAAATGATCTCAAATCACTTTCGAACACTGAATCTTTTTGTTGCAATCCAATGCAATCCATTACATGACAAAGAGATCATTGTAGCTACACATTTGCCTCATTTGGTTCTGTCATATGAAACCACTGATCAGATAATCATTCTGAAACACATTAAAAACAAGCTCCACACTGCGGAAGGAAACATTTTTTGCGACGTTACCTTGCCCTTTTGTTTCAGCCTGAGGCACAAACTGATTTTCATTAACAGTAGACAGAGAGAGATGATAAAGGGGGAGATCTCTGCAGACATCACTGCACCAGTTCCCATCCTTTTGGAACTAGGTAAAATTGATGTGGAATTTCCAGAATTTGTGTCACTTAAGGCAACTATCGCATATATAATTGTATTTGCATTTGATATGGAGCCTTATCACGTACATAAAGAACTTCACAAAGTTTTTGTATTTGTGGGCAAACACGGCAGCACTGTTTGTCAATTCACTTTACAGTACATTCTGTGAAGTACTTTGAGACGTCTCAACATGTGATAAGCGCTATATGAAATGCAATAAGACCTGGGTTTGATTCCTGGAAGGGTGAAACCTTGGGCAAGTTTCCTTACTCCACACGCCTGATAATAATCCCTCAAGAAAATTGATCACTTCAATCCACGACTGTTTGTGTGCTCAACTGGCTGCCACGTTTCGCCCACAAATATACAGTCAATTCACTTTACTCTGTGAAGCGCTTTGAGATGTTGAGAAGACATGAAAAGTGCTAAATCAAATGCAAGGATTATTATTATATTATTATAATAATAATCCTTGCATTTGATATAGTGCCTTATCATGTCTTCACGGAATATACTGTACAGTGAATTTTGTGGGCAAAACGCGGCAGTAGGGTCCTTAGCAGATAGATAAGATGCTGTTCCTCAAGCTTTCGCTGTGGATCATTGGAACAGCATAGGAGACCATGAATGGAGAGGTAAGACTGTGAATGGGAGTGTGAGTTGAAATGGCAGGAGACCGGAAGATCAGGGTTGACCATGAGTACAGAACGGAGGTGTTCTGCAAATCATTCACCCAATCTGTGCTTAGTCTCGTCGATATAGAGGAGACTACACCGTGAGCAGCGGATACATTAGGTGGTAGTATATGTAAACCGGTGTCTTACATGGAAGCTATGTTTGGGACCTTGGATAGTGGTCTAGGAGGAGGTGAAAGGGCAGGCATTGCATCTCCTGTGCTGGTATGGGAAGATGCCGGGGAAGGAGAGCAGCTGGTAGTGCTGACGGCGGAATGAACTAAGGAATCCCGGAGGGAACGATCCCTCTGGAATGAGGGGAGGGGAGGGAAATATGTGTTTGGTGGATGAGTCATGCTGGAAGTGCTGGAAATGTCGGAGAATGATGTGCTGAATATTGAGACTGGTGGGGTGGTAGGTGAGGACTAAGGGAACCCTATCACGGTTCCAGGATGGGGGGAAGGGGTGAGGGCAGAGATGAGGGAAATAGGGCGGACACGATCAAGGACCTTGGCTATTACTGTCGATGGGATTCCTCGGTCGAGCAAAAATAAGGGCATCTCGGTTGCTCTGGTGTGGAAGGTTGCATTGTCAGAGCAGATGTGGCAGAGGTGGAGGAATTGGGAAAATGGGATGGCGTCTTTGCAGGAGGCTGGGTGGGATGAGGTGTAATCAAGGCAGTTGTGGGAGGTGGTGGGCTTATAGAAAATGTCTGTGAATAGTCTGTTACCTGACGTGGAGATAGTGAAGTCGAAGAAGGGAAGGGAAGAGTCAGAGTTGATCCATGTGAATTTTATGGAGGAATGGAAGGTGGAAGCAAAATTTATAAATGCTTCTAACTCACTGCGAGAGCAGGAAACGGCCCCGACACAGTCAATATTTGAAATATTGAAGCGAATTAAGTCGACAACAACAACTTGCATTTATATAGTGCCCTCCACACCAGGCGGTGTCTCAGAGCACTTAACAATGGCGGAGCCCAA